GAATTCAACATAGGTATTGGCTAAAGTTGAAACGCATGTGTAGTCCCACACCAACTGTCTACCATTCTTCCAGGGGTTCACCGTGATTCCGTCTGGGCGACCGACAGGCTCATCAGGATTGCGGGACATTAGGTAACGGGGCTCTCTCTCTGCTGGACAACCGGCTGTGGTAAGGCTTCTCTTAATAATGTCATTGACCTCGCCGTGTCTTGCATGCCATCCTCCTGTCCTTTGGCAGAGAAGGCCATGCCGTCCGTATCTGTCGGCCTCTGCCTCGCCGCAAATACACCTGTATTCGGTGTGGATTGGGGCAGCGAGGCGGAGAGCCACGGCAATTCGGAAGGCCTGCGATGTGAGACGGGTGCCGGTTGCATATATATGTATATATATATTGCATATATTGCATGTATATATATATATATATGTTTTATTTAAACTTTGTTACAAAAAGGGAGTTACATATAGGGTACAAAGATGATTATCATAAGTTTGTCAACACCTTTCTGGCAATTATTTTTTATTTTTATATTTATTTTCAGAGGCACAGGTGTTGAAAATACAGTACTGTACCTATAATAGTTTTTTAATATGAATGCACCAATGTACTAAGTATATACAGTATAGGAAACCATTAAAAATTGTATTATTTGCTGTTAAGTGTCCTTAGCTGATAAATCATGCCAAGACTTCATAGATAATGGGGTTTAATCCACATCAATTATATATTCTCCTGTTAATGGGGGATTAAGAGCTGGAAATTTCTATGGCTGGATAATTCAAGATTCCAGAAAATGCGAATCTGGGTAAATTGGGCTCAACTACACTCAATATGGTCCTTAAACTGAGGGATGAAATGGCACACAAAGGATACATTACATACAATACTGTAACTATAAATATGTTTTGATAGAAGCCAGTATTATGACATCATAAACCACGAACAAAACTACTATACAGTACTGTATTTCCAAATCAATGAAAATGTCAAAGTATGCTAACACAGGTTAGAGGTTCCCAAGGAATGAGCCGCCGAACACGAGATGTCCGGATACAGTGGAAGGGTCACATACAGAAACTACAGAAGACAACTGATACACCCTACCACCATGTACAGTACAGTAATAATTAAATCATAATTCCTTTGTCACAACTGTATACAGTATTTATAAAGTTCATGTTAGACTTATATCGAGGTGTCCCCCAGGGTCAAATTACTGACCCTTTCCAGGATGCAGCCCCACAACAAGTTGACTAACTCCTGGGTACCTATTTACTGCTAGGGGGAGAGGGGGCAGTAGGTGATAGGAAATGCATCCAACCCTTTCAGTCCCGCCTGGGATTCGAACCAGGAATTCTAGACTGTAGGCCGACGACAAACCTGACAGTTTTACTGGGACCCTTTGCCGATAATAAATCATAATGCTTATCACATAGGCAGAAATTGGCCAAAGTGGACAAAGAGAAATGAAAAACAAAGTTCAAGAAAGCTCCACAGTCCCTGAAAGACTGTACTGTACATGGAAAGTATTGGGGAAAATGGGATGGCAGTCCATTCAAAATAATAATGGTTCAAAAAATAGGAACCATGAGTCCAGACTGCCGAATTTCAAAAGAAATTTGAAATATATGCCGGCATTCAAAGTGTCAAGTCAATGCATATATGGCATTCTAAAGTTAATGTACGAAATACCACGTAAAAAATAAAGAGAACACCATAAGCTTGACTATCTCCTCTCCTGGGGAGTTCTAATAATCAATACCGGACAATAGATTGTTGTGGTTAAGGATCACTAACACTACACACAAAATTCACTTGAATAATATACCTCTGCATATCCTAAGGATTGTGGATATACAGTAACGGATACAAGCCAAAGGAAAGCTGTACTGCATGGATATATTCCTGTTGAGTGCTGTGGTATTAGATATACACCTATATGCTCCTGGGGGACTATGCCATTTGAAACACATTCCCTGAACAGGTGCTGTGCTATTTGGATACATGCCAATGGAGTACAGTGCTACAGGTATTTGGATGCATGCCCATGGAGTACTGTGTTATTTGGATGCATGCCCGTGGAGTACTGTGCTATTTGGATGCATGCCCATGAAGTACCGTATTTACTATTTGTGTCTGCAGAATCGAGCTATTAGCTCTTAGATCCCACCTTTTATAACCAATCAATTTTTCCTCTATTATATCTACTGCATATATTTCTTTCTGAGACACACACACACACACATACTCAATGTCAGAATAGTCAGTAAATGGAATGCAGTACGAAGTGATGTGGTGGAGGCTGACAACATACACAGTTTCAAATGTAAATATGATGGAGCTCGAGATGCTTAGGAATCTGTACACCAGTAGATTGACAGTTGAGTGGCAGGACCAAACAGCCAAAGCTCAACCCCCACAAGCACAACTAGAGTACATCCCCAGGAACCAGCCCGTAGCAACTGTAACTCCAAGGTACCTATTTACTGCTAGGTGAACAGGGGCATCAGAGTGAAAGAAACTACCCATTGTCTCTGCCTCTGCTGGGAATCGAACATTAGGACTACGACCCCCGAGCGCTGTCGACCCTGCCACAAGGCCCCCCTGTGTTAGCGGTCCCAGTAATACAGTCCGGTTCATTTTCAACTCACAATCAGGAATTTCGGGTTCAAATCCATGGGCAGGACAGAAATAATTGGGTGCGTTTCATGTTCACCTAGCAGTAAATAAGTATCCAGGAGTTAGTCAACTTGCCGTGATGTTGCATTCTGGGAAAGATCGGTAATTCGACCTTGGGGCAGACCTCGATATAAGCTAACATGTACAGTACAGTATATATACATTGGCTGCCAGTCCCCCGACACAATAAAATATTAATTATTATGCCCATGGAGTACTTTGCTATTTGGATGCAACCCTCTGGAGTGCTGTGATATTTGGGTATATGCCCATGGATGCCATGTTATTTGAATACAATATAACTTAGGATAGTATAAATGGAATTGTATGAGCAGCAGCCTGTTTACCTCTCAATGATTCTGAGGATCAATGTTCCCACAGCCCGGTCTCTGACCAGGCCTCTCTGGTGGCCTGGTCAACCAGGCTACCTTACCTTGTGGTTACCTTGAGGTGCTTCCGGGGCTTAGCGTCCCCGCGGCCCGGTCGTCGACCAGGCCTCCTGGGCCTGGTCGAGCTTAAGAAGAAACACACTTATGAAGTCAGATATTTGTGACCATTTCTGTTAATCACACAAATGTTATTCACATAAATATTACTCAATACAGGCATTATTAATGCATGCATTGTACATAATGTCACATGGAAATTAGATCAACAAAATGTGTTCTGTATGTAGACATTTTCATTACATTGCCCTACCTTCCTTCAAAAATTATGCTAAACATTGATTAAATGTGTGTGGCCATATTTATGCAACTGTAAAAATAAAATCTATAATTACAATATGATCATTGTTGGTGCTAGAACCACCAATGGAATAAAATTGAATTTAACACAGGTACTTCGTACATATCTAGTTTTCCAATTGCTAAAACTGTGAATATTGCTAGATTTGGCTGGGTTTGGTAATGCTAAATTAGGTTGGGTTAGGTTTGACTTGATACTTTGTTGCACTGAAAACTACCTACCTAAAGGACATAACTGGCCA